CTCAGGGAGCGCCGCTCTCCCCAGGTCCATCGTCCTCATCGTCCTCTTCGCCCAGTACCTGAGGAACGTCACCATCCGCCTGCCCGGCTACCGCTGGGGACGGGGCTTCGTCCTGCTGCGCGTGCAGATCTTCAAGATGTTCCCAGTAGGGGCACGGGACAGGACGGGGGGGCTTTTGGGGAGCGATGCTGGGGGTGTCCCCATCCCCGTGCGACACCTGGCCGCTGCCCGCAGATCATCCTGGCCATCATGGTGGTGTGGCTGCTCTGCTACCTGCTGACGCGCACCGGCGTCTTCCCCAGCAGCCCCGAGGAGTACGGCTACAAGGCCAGGACGGACGCGCGCGGGGAGATCCTCTCGGTGGCACCCTGGTTCCGTGTCCCCTACCCCTGTGAGTGCCAGCGCACGCGGGTGCCCCACGGCTGCACCGTGGGCAGGGTGCGGGGAGCAGGCGCAGCATGGCCGGGGAGCACCAGGGGTCCCCCCCGGGAGCGGTGCCGGGTCCCCAGAGCGGTGGCGTGTCCCCTCGGCAGGTCAGTGGGGGCTGCCCACGGTGACCTCGGCGGCCGTGCTGGGCATGTTCAGCGCCACGCTGGCCGGCATCATCGAGTCCATCGGGGATTACTACTCCTGCGCGCGGCTGGCGGGGGCGCCCGCTCCCCCGGTGCACGCCATCAACAGGTACAGCCAGCGCCATGGGGACGGGGACAGGGATGGGGACACTGCTCTGAGCCCCGGCAGCTGCCTTCTGCCTGTGCCTGGCTCCAAACCTGCACCCTTGGCTGCTTTGTGCCCTGGTTCCCCGGTGGTACCGGGCCTCCTCCTCCTCGTCCCGGCACCTCCGGGTACGTCCCCACCACCCACCCCAAGGGATGTCCCCTCCTGTTCGTCCCCCAGGGGCATTTTCACCGAGGGCATCTCCTGCATCATCGCGGGGCTGCTGGGAACCGGCAACGGCTCCACCTCCTCCAGCCCCAACATCGGGGTGCTGGGCATCACCAAGGTACAGCCCGCACCCCGCACGGGTCCCCGGCTGGGCGTGGAGACAGCCGCGGCCACACACTGCCCCTGTCCCCGGGCAGGTGGGGAGCAGGAGGGTGATCCAGTACGGCGCCGGGATCATGATCGTCCTGGGGACCATCGGCAAGTTCACGGCGCTGTTCGCATCGCTGCCAGACCCCATCCTGGGCGGGATGTTCTGCACGCTGTTCGGTAACCGCGCCGCCCGAAGCGCCGCTGAAGCGGTGTCGGGACATTTCCCCGGGGATCTGGGTGCTGTGTGTGCCAGCCCAGCTTCGACCGAGGAGCCCGAGGGATGCAAAGCCATGGATGAGATCTGAGCTGTGCCGAGCGGCAGCTGGGTCGGAGCAAGCTGCACCAGGCCCAGCAGCGCGCCCCGAAGGCAGACACGGCCACGTCTCTGCTTGCAGGCATGATCACGGCCGTCGGCCTCTCCAACCTGCAGTTTGTCGACATGAATTCCTCCCGCAACCTCTTCGTGCTGGGCTTCTCCATGTTTTTCGGGCTGACGCTGCCCAACTACCTGGATTCCAACCCCAAGGCCATTAACACAGGTACTGCCCCCGGCTAAAAGCCTTTTTCTTGGTTTGCCACCAGCACATTCCCGGGTGAGGGTGCTCAGGGCGAGCAGGGCAAATCTCTCGGTCCGTGCATCCTCACGTCAGACCCTGCTCTGCTCACCAACCCATGGTGTTAAGTGCATTTATAGGGAAAAAATATGACTTAAATGGGACAACAGCTGCAAGGTAGGATTTACGTAGTTAATCTGAAAACTCAGTGACCCTCAGAGCGGCAGAGGAGAGCTTGCAGTGGGCAGTGACACCTCGAGGCACCTTGACCAGCCTGGGTCACCCCGTGCCAGATGTCCCCTCTGCTCCCCGCTGTGCCCGCTCAGCCCCTGCCCTCCCGCAGGCGTCGCTGAGCTGGACCAGATCCTGACGGTGCTGCTGACGACCGAGATGTTTGTGGGGGGCTCCCTCGCCTTCATCCTGGACAACACCATCCCGGGTAATTAAAGCAAACCGGGCCGGGAGCCGGGGGGCTCGGTGTGGGCGTGCTGGGGTGCACGGCGGCTGTGGCTGCCCGCAGGGACGCGCGAGGAGCGGGGACTGGTGCAGTGGAAGGCGGGCGCCCACGCCGACAGCACGTCCTCGGCCAGCCTGAGGAGCTACGACTTCCCCTTCGGGATGGGCACGGTGCGGCGGTGCCGCTGGCTGCGCCACGTGCCCATCTGCCCGCTCTTCACCGGCTTCAGCTGGCGGCCGGGCAAAAGCCGCGCGGCGGTGGCCGAGGGCGCGCAGGAGGGCACCGACGGCCTCGTCGTCTGCACCAAGGTGTGAGCGGCACCCGGCGCCTCGGCCCCACTGCTGGAGGGCACGGGGCGGGGAAGAGCCGAGCCGAGAGCCCGGGGTCGCACCCGGCAGCATCGCTGGGGGGCTGCCAGCATCCCCCGCCGAAGCTTCTTTCCCCGAACGCGGGGCTGGGGGAATTTGGTTGCTTTTTGGGGACGGCGCTGGCTTGGCTTTAGCTGAATCTAGTGTGCAGAGCCCATCCTGGGGGCTCCCCAGGCACCGGCCTCAGCACCAGCGGCCCCAAGTGCTTGCCCCAGCTCAGCCTCCCGCTGGTTTGGGGTGTTCCAAGCTTTGCTGAAGCCCGGCAGCTCCAACCAGGGGCGCTGGGACCGGCCAGGGCCAAGGATTTTGACACCACGCCCTTGGCTGCAGCAGGGCTGCAGTGGGTGCAGTTGGCTCTGTGCTGGGTGCAGCGATCAGACCGCTCTGTTTTAAGATTCTGCATTAAAAAAAAAAACATCCAAACCCACTTGCCCCAGAGGTGTTTTTGTTGTTTCCTGCACCATTCCCTCGTCCCTTCTGCATTTTCAAGGCTTCAGAGGGAACCACCCTGCAGGGTGCCAGAAGGCAGAGGACAGCCTCCTGCTGACAGCCCAGCCCAGCTTCTGGGCTCAGGTTGGGGTTTAGCCCCAAAACCCAAAGGTGAAGGCAGCGCTGGGCTACCCAGACACGGCTACGGACCCAGGTGGGAGCTGAGCACTGCGACAGCCGCTCCCTCCCTCCCTCCCTCCCACCCCACACAGAGCAAAGGAAAATTCACAGGTGAAAGTAAGGGCAGTTTAATAAGTGAGTAAGTGTAAGTGAAGAAAGAAAGGAGGTAAAAAAAAAAAAAAAAAAAAAAAAACAAAAAAACACTAACACGAAGTCCCAGGTGATGCAAGTACAATGAGTCGCCGCCTCCCAGGGGCTTGGAGCAATGGGAGAACCTCCCCGTCCCGTCCCGTCCCGTCCCATCCCGTCCCAGTTCTCAGGCTGAGGGTGATGCTACGTGGCGTGCTGTATCCCTTGGCCAGCTGTGCTGGCTGAGTCCCCTGCCAGCGTCTTGCCCACAAGAGGTGTGGGTGTGGGCTGAGCAAGGGAAAGGGGAAGCCTTGAGGCTGCGTGCCAGCCTTGTCTGGGTCACAAACCCCAGACTCAGCACTCCAGGGACTGCGATGGAGTTAACGCCAGCCCAGCCAGACAGCAAACAATTCGGACCCAGCGGCTCCTAGAAGGCAGCAGCCAGCCCCCTGCTCTGGTTTCAGTCCAGGGCTGATGCTGAGAGCAAGGGATCGCCCCAAACACCTCATTAGATGAGCTCCTGGCTGAGAGCAGCCCCGTGGCACCTTCCCCTCTCCTACCTGCCGCCTCCAGGATCCCTGCAGACACCATCAGTAAGCTCGGCTCTTTAATAAACCGTTCCGGATTGTGCAGTTGCCTGGGATGAAAACAAAGCACCAAAACAAACCGCAGCAAGCCTGGCTGCTTCTCACCACGCCAGCTCCCAGCTGAAGCATTCAGCTGCCGCTCACCCCGAGCCGACTGCACGGGGGCTGAGAAGTCCCAGAGGAAGCTCAGGGACAAGGGCAGGGAAAGCAAACGCCGCCAGCTCTGCAGGGGTCCTCGGGAGGGACCCCAGCTTTGGCTAAAATCAGCTGTAGCATGGTAGGATGCTACCTCCTGACCCTCTGCATGTAGGTGCTCGAGTTTAAGCAGTTTCTAAAGTCAGGAGAAACACCGGGGGAGGTTTGTTACTTCTAGGAAGGCCAGCAGGGAAAGCCAGGGGAGGGAACGCTCAGCAGGGAAGCTGGGAGAAATTTTTGGATGCTGCAGAGCAGCAGAAAAAGGAGTTGTCTGACTGGATTCCTCAGGAGAGCAGATTTTCCAGCTGGAGCGAGACTGGCAGCAAAGCCAAGTGGTTATGTAGGAAGCTAAGAGCAGAGCAAAGGCAGCGCCTCACTCTTCCTGTTCTGCAGCACCCTGTGATCTCTGACATGTTTCCATCGGGCTTACCCACGGCTTACAAAAACAACAGTACATAAACACAGCAGCACGTTGTGACACGGGAGTGGCTCAGACCCCTACCTGAGGGCTGCTGGATGTGACCTGACCCCTGTGGGCACCCCGCAGCTCGCTCAGCCCTTCCTGCAGCTCTGTGGGGTTTGTGCAGGGAGAACGGCCACCGACAGCACCCCGGCTCCAGCAGCTGCCCTGCCAAAGCCTCCCAAAGCCTGCGTCAGGCAGCAGTTTTATATAGTGCCATCAGCTGCTAACTGGGACTTCCTGTGCTGCCAGAAACAGTGGGGCTGAACTAGGATTAGCAGTGATGAGAACGAAGGAAACTATGGCCAGAAAAACACGCAGAGCAGGCAGAGGACAGAAAAGAGCAGCCAGAGCCCGAGCTCGGATCACTTGGGGTTATCCAGCCCTATGGGCACCGTCCCTGATGCGCAGCAGCACGTCATCCCTTCCCCCTGCCGGATGAGATTCCAGGTGAGATGCAGATTGATGAGACAGCCACCAAATCATTTCTACTATTATTTATTTTTTTAAATATTTTTGAAAAAATATAATTTTTTTACAATATTTTCAACTTAAACACTATTCACACTGAACACGTATGGCAGCTTAACCTACCCAAATATGAAGTTTAAGAAGCCAAAACTGTTCTAGCTTTATTAAAAGAAAAAAAAAAAAGTCATTGTGCTGTAGACTATTGTGTAGTGATGATTAAACAAAGCAAGGGAAAAAAGCACCACTCAAATCACTAATGCTAGGGTTTTCTCGGTTAAATCCAGCTATAATAAAGTTGTAAGCTAAAAGTTACATAGGCAGTGCTATGTATGTATCCGGGTTCTTGGAAGAAATTGTGATGAAACTCACATGTCCTTTAACATAATTAGGAAGTGAAACATTTCTAACATGATAACACACTGCAAGTACAGGGAATTTCTTCCTTCCGATCACTTGGATGTTAGTTCAGTAGCTGAGATCTACGACTCTGTACAGGTCTGTAAAATTTCTGTTAAAGCTCACGCTGCTTAAAAGAAGCATGAATTCTTTTTTAAGGGGAAAAAAGTAACATTAGTAACAATACTGATAGTTCAAAGGAAAGTTAGCTAATTTGCATAACAATCAGATAACCTTGCTTTCGTTTTAAAGTTAAGGCATTATCAGGTGCAAACTAGCACCAGTTAACACATCTTTAGTTAAAAACAGACCATCCAAAGCAAATTGCAAGTCCTATTTAAAAAGACAGAGTCTGCAGAAGGTTTTTATAAATGTGGTACTTTGTCTCAACTTGACTGGTGCTTCCTACCTCACTGTCTCCTTTGCAGAGAGCCAGGGTCCAATTATGTTTCCATTAAACTTTTGACAGATTTACTTAATAACAGTCTCAGCACTTTTATTGAGCATGCAAGACTAACAAAACTTTGGCAATGCATAAGTGTAACACAGTGACAAGAAGAGAGAGCTTTTACAATTAAATCTTCTAATACTGGCTTCACAGTGTGGAAATTGTGCTACATCCACCAAAAGAGGGCCCAGTCTACTCAAATATTTAAGTACTTCACCCCAGGAACAAACTCCTTTGCGTTTGGATTCAGATTACTCTTGACCTGAGGAAGGGAAAAACAGAACTCCAGTTGAATCGTTATTTTCATCCTCCACTCCCAAACCGAACACAATTCCAGGCGGGCGGCATGAGGAACGTTTAGAGAACATTCAGAGTTACAGTCAGGCACACAACACGGTTTCTGCATATGCTAAAATCTCCGTGCTCATGAGAAAAGCCCACTCTGTGCTAGTACCTGATCCTCCACTAGCACCACCTGGCTGTTTCAGTCAGTGGAGGGCTCAGTGAACGGGAAACAAACACGAAAACCACAGGCATGCACCAGGACCCGCAACGTCAGTGAATGCTGAAATAGCTTTTTCTGTAGTTAAGCTGTTAAACGTGCCACGAGGTTTTTAGATCTTGCTTATTTAAGCAAGAAGAGACTTGCTCCAGGAACTTAAGCCACTTCTGGGAATTCAACATGTATGAGCACCGCACTGTTTCATTTCGGTGTCTGTGACTACCCCGTCCTCCCACTTGGCAAGCAGCTGCTCTGCAAGGATCTGCAGTTCAAGGTGGGGAGACAGCACCTCCAAAACGAGCTATTTACCATTAAAAAAGGAACGGAGGATTAGGCTTTTATGTTCTTGGGTCTAAGCTGCTTAAGCTTGGGAAGGTTTGTGTGCCTGCATCTGAATCTCACAGCAGTGTGTGCTGTGACTGTGCTTCTTGTACCACCTACATCAGCAACTCTGCATTGCATTCGGGAAAAATGCGTGCCCACTGCCCTTTCCTTTCAGTTAAGCTCTAGACTAAAAAGCCATACAGCAGGAATAGAGGGAAATAATACGTTTAGCTGCTTCCCTCTTCCTTAAAACTTCTATAAAGAGTTCTGCTGTGGTACGTGTGGTCCAGATCAGACCTCAGAATGATTTGTACCTAAGTGTTGACAGATGCTGAACTAAACTTTTACAGTCCTCCCATGGCACCTCGCAGCCAGCACGCTCCACTCACCACCTTCCCTTCACAACATAGCATGCATACCCAAACCCGCTTGAATTTATGCCATGGCCGAGGAGAAGCACCACAGGGGTATGGCAGAAAGGCACAGAAGAGGTTCTGTCACCCGAGGAAGCACACCTTACGCAGCCCTTCCACGCTTCCCCCTCCACCACAGCCACACGTGGCTTCAGAGTCCCCGGCCCACACATAAAGGGTTTTCTGCTGCCATTAACAGCAAGAAAAATCAACCCTGGACAAAGAGAGGTGTGAAGTTATGGAAATATAATGATCAGAAACTGAATTTACCACCAGATCCTCCAGTGATGAGCTGTCACTGATAACAAGGTCATTGAACTGGTCCTGGATTTGATCCATTGTTTGTGGGAGATCACGGGCTGGAATAAACCACTCGTGCTCCTCCTCTTCTTCCAGCATCTCCTGGAAACAGCGCTCAATAAACTCTTCTTCCCACAACTCCTCTTCGATCTACAGAACAAGAAGAAGCTGCTTCATCAACAAAGCTATTGAAGACTCGTGTCTTCGAGCTTTTTGTACCTAAAACCGACCCTCTTTCTAGCTACACCACGGGACACCTGGCAGAATGCCGTGCCCGTGCTGCAGGAAGGCAGGCAGCTCTGATTTTTTTCACGTCAGAAAGTGTGTTGTCTCTGGAACTCGCAGCTGGAAGGGAACGGCAGCCCTGGCTGTTCAGTTTGCACACTTACCACGGAGAGCTTGTTAACGAGCACAGGCAGCAGCACGCCCGTTCAAGGGGAAATGCCAGCTGTGCCAGCCAGCCTGGGCTGAGCCCGCTGGAAGCACGAGGAAGGGAACCAGGGGCAACACATCCAGCCTGCAGCACACTCCGCAGAGAAGTGTCCTGCAAGGCTCTTGAGGGGAAGAAAAACGACTGCCTGTCACTGGGAGCAGGGAACAGGCAGCATCTCCTATGGTTGTGTTCACACAGCGCAGCTGTAAGGAACTCCACACGATGTTGGCAGTCACTAGGAATGCTGACCTGCAGTCCCAAAAGCAGGATAAATCAACTGAGGCAGAACCGACACGCACAGCAAAGATTAAAGGGAAGCTCTGTTTGGTTGTTCAGTGAACGAGCTTCGGGGGGTGTTGATGCTGACACATTTCCCGTGTCCTGTATCACGGTACTCCAGGGTGGAAAGCAGGGAAACAAAAGCTGATGCAAACGACTTGCCGGACACAGGGGGAAAAAGGAATCAGAAAAGATTTAAAGTTTGTTCAGTGGAAGCTTAAACAAGTTTACCTATTTATCTTTCACTCTGAAATCAAACGCACTCAATCCTGAAGTGGAAATTAACATTCCAGAAGGCACTGTCAGAGTTGAGGATTCCCATAAAATCCTGGTCCCCTGTGCCTCGGGTCAAACACAAGCACCAGCTCGCTTCGTGCTCCAGAGGCACAGCTCCTAGGGCGTTGGGACTCATTACAGACTGCTCTGAGAGGCTGTCCGGACAATTCAAACCCCACCTGGGACACTGACTTATTAATTTCCCCAGCAAAGCACCCCAGAGAGGGCAGCAGTCTCCAATCCTCCTCCTCGTGCATCCTGTGCGTGGGGAAAAGGAAGCCGTGGGCACACGGCCACGAGCTAGGGTTACACAGGGGGTGCCTGACTGCAGGGTTTTCGTTCCACGGTTGCATCCCTACAGGTGCTTCCAACAGCAGCAGCAGGAAATGGTGTTTAATTCCCCAAATGTCCCAAAACAGACACTGATCACTTGTGTTCTCCAGCCCGTTTAACTTGCTCGGTTTCCCCCTGAGGGCTGTGCCTCCAGCAGCAAGAGGAGAGGCCAGCACACGGCGTCTGTCTGCCTGTGCCCATTCTCCTCTCCTCCCCCACCTGTCCCGCACCCCAAACACAGCTGAGAAGCAATTTATCCACGGCACAACCCCCAGCTCACTCCCCAGGTGCTGCACACCCTGCAGGTTAATTCCAGCCAGGAGGAAAACCCCACCGAACAGGAAGCGACGCCGCGGCCATCCTGGCACACGCACAAGAGGACTTTTTGTCAGCAGCCTGAATTTGGGATTAGCTTGGCACCCCGAAGGGGGCTGCAGTCACACCACAAGCGCTGCCTCAGAGCCCGCAGCGCGCTCGTGCTGTAGTGGAGCACAGAGAAGGCAGCGACGTGAGTGCAAAAACCAAGTAACAATGGAGAAAAGGGCACTGGAGAGAGGGGGGCTGCTCCCAGGCTCCAGCTGTGCCCAGCTGTAAGGGGGAAGCTGAAGTTAAAGCCTCCTCCCAGCCAGGCTGCCAACACCAGCTGTGAGTTATGCAGCATTGAGCAACCTGGACGGGACCGTCACCCCGCAGCTCTGTCCAGCAACTCCCCTGTGAGCAACAACCCCGCAGGCAAGGCAGGCAGGCAGCTGAGCACATCCAGCCCCGGCGTGTCTGCACACGCAGCAGCGGAGCAGCTCAGCAGCCTGGCAGGCCCAGCCCTTCCCAAAGTGCCCCTTAAATTCCACCAGCTACGTTGCTTCCTCCTCCCCGCAGCAGGAGGCAGTTAATGGCTGCATTTAAACATTCTGCACCTCCCCTGTTTCTCACCGAGATTACAGAAAATAAGAATTTATTGCTGGAGAAAACCCTACCAGCCTGCTGCCCCCATCTAAAAACCCCAGCACTAAAGGACTCCCAGCCTCAGACCCCAGGCACAGGACAGCCACGGAGGGGAGCAACTTGCCTGCCTGTTGAACTCCTCTTCGTTCTCCATCCACATGTACTCCGCGAAGGGATTGTCATCTTCGTGGGAGTGCCCGTTGATAATCACATCTTCGCTGATGATGCTGGGGCTAGTGCTGCTGCGACTTGGATCTTTCATGGCTGCGTCTCTGATCTGGTCTGCAATTAAGAAAGGCGGTAATTAAAGACGTGCGGATTCGCTCATCGCCCCGCTTCTGCATAAACCCAGCCCAGGGGAAGGCTGCAGCTCCCTGCGAGGGCTCCAGGTGGCTGCCCCGCGAGCACGGTGTAAATGACACCAGAACGAGGGGCAGCACCAGCAGCGCCGTGCCCATTGTGTGCAGATTCAGGGGACTTTGCCAAATTAAATCTCACCCAATCAGCAAATGCCAAGCACCGAGGCCAAATGAAAGTGTCAGAGAACTTGGAAATCACGCATGCTTGTGACAGAGAGTATTTAAGGTGACATTCGAGAAACAAAAGGAAAGTTTTGTTTTCCAAAAATAATTCTGAAGCTTTCATCTGAGTTTTACCCAACTCCCCTGGGAATCAGCTGCCCGGTGTCAGCGAGCAACACCTCAGGGGAACTTCCACAGGTATCCGTGGCACAGGAAACTCCAGTGCAACTTTTAGAGCACCCAAATTTGGTTACAGGACAGATTCTGTGATCGCACGAACCAATTTTCACAGCTGTTTCACTGCCCAGGAAGCTTGCAAGCTCCCACAGGCAGCAAGCATCATGTGCTGATTCCTCACAGAGCCGATTTGGCGTAAGTTCTTCATTAGCAAAAGCCCCCTGATTGAGAAGCTTCAGGTAAAGGCGCTGGGAAGTGGCAGACAGCACGTGCTTGCCTCTCGTCCCCCTTCATTAACGTGGCCCGAGTCACGTCCGGAGAGCGCTCAGCGTTTCTGCGTGTCCGCAGCCCGTGACAGCGCAGCTCAGGGAGCCAAGGCAGAGCTGGGAAGTGCGTTTTGTTCCACCTACCCATGACTAAAAGCAGGACAAAACCCAAATTTAGACTTTTATTTTAATAAAAACAAACTATCTTGCAGCCTGTCCATCGGGCTTGCAAGGCATTGAAGCTCAGAGACACCTGAGGTTCTGTACGGAAAATCTTACTTGTGCTGCAGCGAGGTGATCCTATTGTTCTTCCTACACCGTGCTTCAGCAGGACTATAAATACTGCCAAAGCCGAGTATTTTTAGATACCGATACGGCAGCGCTGAACGTCCTGACAACAGCACGAAAGAATTAAATCACAATAATTAATCTTGGGTGCTTTTCTAGCCTTTTGGCGTATTTTCAGGGGGACCACGATGACCTACAGGTTCACCCAGTAGCTCAGCACCTAGACGTAGCCATGAAGCCACGCTCCTTCTGTAACAGCCGTCTGGGACTGGTAACAATTTTCAGCTTAGGACCAAACAGTGTGCTAAAAACGGGCAATCAGCACAGCACTGAGGAAAAATTATTTCTATTTTATTCTCAAATCAATGCCCGAACTAGTTGTCTGCGTATCAGAAGTGATTTACTGGGGGAAGCAGCTACCAAGGTACAGCCCTCGTTGCTGTTACACTGCCAGGGCTTATCGTGCTGAAATACAAAGGGAAAGAGGAGCTGCCATCAGCCCTAATATCTGTGGAATTAAGGCAAGATTTACTCTGCAGTTTGTTCTTGGTAACACCAGCGCTGAGACCCACCACATCCAAATGATCAATTAAGAAAAGCACAAGGAAAAAGGAACTCGCCTGCTTGGCTCTCCTCGAGGTTTTTAAATCAAAGGCAAGCCCGAGTACAGAAGTCAGTTTAGCTCCCTAGGAAGTACAACAAATGAGACCAGAAACTGGGGTATTCCAGCAGCAGCAAACAAGTTCTTTTTGATGTTCTCTCAAAACAAACTTCCAAAGGATTTCTGGCAGCGTTTAACGTGAGACAGGAAAAGACGGTGCGTTCAGCACCCCAACTGCAGCCTGAAGCTGTTGGAAGCAGCTTTGGCTGCTCACAGGCTCACAAACAGTACGGGCTAAAACAAACAAACGACCTCAGTCTGAAAAGCCAATATATTTTTTTTTGTTAGCACATCTTTTCGCCTTTTCTTTTGTGAGGTGCATCTCAATACTAACATTCCACTGGATTTTATGCACACCAACAACATATGCTAGAGGTGAGAAGCTGCATGAGCAGCCCAAGGTACTCAGGCCAAACGCCAGGGAGCTCCTGCACACAACCACTGCACCCAGACACGTTCACAGAGGTTAAAAAACAAACAAAACCCCTCCCCGTTAAAAAAGCCCAAGAGGTTAATTTGTTAAATCACCGGCCAGTTTTCCCAGTCCTTAAACACTGAGGTAGAACCCTTTGGTTTTGGAGAGGGGAAAATGAAGCACAGCGTTTCGTATTGGGACTGAAACAACTTTTTCCATTACTGCTCACGGGTGAGCACCCAAGGCCTCAGCCTGAACGCTGGCCGTTTATCTGCTGAGGCCCCACGCCTGCTGATCTGTTTTTATAGGCAAACGTGTGAACGCTCACCCCGCATTAATAGCTAGGGAGCCCCAGGCCAGTGCCCAGACATGGCACTCCTTGTAATTGGATTTTCTGCCACTCGTAATGAAATGCTCTGCGTGGAGCTTCCCACTGCACCCTTTCAAGATAGAAATCAGTTGGCCTTCTGTGCTCGACAAGGATGAGAACAGTCTCATCTGTTTGCTAGTATTAGATGCAGGCAGCTCTGAGGAGAGCCAAATGCCACCTCAGCCTTCCAAAAAGGCACGATCTGAGAAAGCTGTTGGAGAAAACAAGGCACGGTGGCAGGCGACACTAGAGTCGTGAGTAGGAATACATTTTCCATCTGGGAATAGGTGGAAAGCAGAGGATCTCAAAGCTCCTGACACTAAGACGAGGAAAAAACAGCATTAGTAGTGCTGGGAAACAGAAAAGATGGAGGAGAGCCCTGCCACAGCCAAACGCTGCGAGACTCAGCCCCGAGCTGTCCTGGGACGGGGCGGGTGGGAAGATGCAAAAAGAACGGTGTAAGTGCACAAGGAAAGGCTGAAAATCAGGGCTTTTGTCTAAGGAACTAACAGAATCCAGGCGTTAACCATGCAATAACAGCAGAACTCGGGGCTGAGTGCGTGTGTTCTGCAGGCAGCGCAGAGCTCACAACGCCGGGGCTGTGCTGTGTTTGTACCCGCAGCCAGCCCCGCACCACCCCCTGGTCGAGCCCAAAGGGTTCGGGATTGCAAACGCAGCTTCCAAAACACCAACCTGAGGCAGCTTTTAGCTAACACCTACTCCGGCACAGCAGGTCGGCGGGTCCGGTTGCGCACAGCGAGCCCCAGCTCCAAGGCCTTGAGGAAACAAAAACAAGGCGGTGTTTGTGAGCACGGCACGGGGGGGGGGGGGGTGCACACACCGGGAGCTCCCCGGTTTGGGGGGGGGGGCGTGCCGGGGAGCGGGGGCTGAGGCAGGGCCGGGCCCCGCTCCCCCCGCCCCGCGCGGGCTTTGTTCGCCCACAAGGGGCCGCCCCGCTGAGGGGGGGGGGGCCCGGATCCCGTCAGGCCCCGCTCCCCCCTCGCCCCCCCCCCCACTCCCCAGCAGGACCCGGATGAACGCCGCAGACAATGGGGCCGCCGCCGGGGGGCGCCGCGAGCGGGGAGGAGGCGGCGGGACGGGGCCGGGGGATGGGACGTGAGGGGCCGTGAGGCGCTGTGAGGGCTGTGAGGGGAGGAGCGCGCGGCCTCCCCCCGGTGCTGGCGCCCCCCCCACCCCGCCGCGTTGGCCGCATCCCGGGCGGCGCCGCTCACCTGCTCCGAGGGTCAGGGGAAGGGATGGGAAGGCCGCGGGTGCGCCCGCCCAGCTCCGAGCCGCCGCCGCCGCCGCCCCGCTGCGCTCCGCCCCGCGCCGCGTCCTCCCCGCCGCCGGCCCCGCCGCCCCGCTCCCCTCCCAGCGCCGCAGCCCCGCCGGATGTGAGGTCACTTCCGCTACCTGCGGGGCCGCGCGGGACACGCCCCCAGCCCAGCGCGGCCCTGTGAGCCGCCGATGCCGCGAGTTGGCCGGCGGCGGCGCGGGGCGTGCCGGGAGTTGTAGGCGCTGGGGGGGGAGGCCGGCGGCCATTTCGCGCATCGCTCCGGCCGCCGCGCTGGGCATGCCGGGAGGTGTAGTCCTGGCGGGGCGGCAAGCCGCCATCTTGTGGCGCCGCCTGGGATGGAGGCGGGGGGGGGGGGGCAGGGAGCAAGGCCCTGAGGTGGGACCTGCACAGAGCCCCCCGCCACAACCCTGCCCCTCACAAAAAACGGGCCACAAAACGCGTTTTTCTCTTCTGATCATCCGAATAAAACTCGGGGGGAACCACTGCCTTCCGGGGCTGCCATCTTAAGCCCTTTGTGTGCACAACAGCGAAGGCAGCAGCCGGGCAGCGCTGTGCCAAAGCTGCGCAGAAACTGTCACTGACCCTGACTGACCCGGGAAGCAATGCTGGGGGATAGGCAAACGTCCATCCGAGTGGCTGCAGGGTTAAAAACCTGCCAAACGTGCACAGATCACTGCAGCTGTTTGGCTCTGCCCTTTCCCAGCAGCACCTGTGGGGCTGGAAAGGCTCCTGCGGGCGGGCTGCCCCCTCAGGAGGCAGGGAACGCGGAGGGTAACGAGTCAGCATTGCCCTCCTCAGCCCTTCCCTTCCTTCCCAAGTTTAGTAAGGGCTAACTGACTCCTAAAGTTTGTTTACTTATTTTTTTCCTGAGGGTAGATTCCACCTGGAATGCAGCATTGCATACGGATTTTATTATTGTTCTTATTTTCACAATGTCCAGCTGTACTTTAACAAACCCCACCCTTACCCGTGCCTTTCTCAGCTGTAGCAGAGGTGGCTTCTACTGCCTGTTGTTCAGCAAGCCCAGGGCCTCAGGTCTGCCTCTGAACTACACAGGCAGCAAAGAAACAGCCTCAGAAATTCTTTTTCTGAGTTGAAATTTGTACATGATCACTGGCATCCAGATCAGTGAGCCTGCACCTAGCCTGTCACAACCACGGCTCCTGTTCTGCTCCATTTCCCCTCCATCCCTTCGTGGTGCAGTTATTCCAAAGCACAAGTAGTTCATGGCAAGACCACACACCCTTCTGCCATCCAAGCATGCTCCTGACATCTCTCCTCAAGTTAAGGAGAGCTTTCTTTTGGTCACAGATTAGCATCATGCATGCATTTTCTCCTGGGCCTTTGCATATAACGAGACACCTTTCAGCAGAACAGGTTTGACTTAGTTCCTGGACACACCACTGGGCTTGTGTACGGGTACTGAAGGCTTCCATACAGCCCAGCAAGGCTCTGAAAGTACAGACATTAGAGAGATCCAACTTCCACCAAGTTCAGGAACTGAGCTGGAGTTAATGAGACAGAGACTTGTGATCTCTGAACTGGGACTATGCTGCAGTTCCTTTATGCCTGGGATTTCTTTGTTTAGACACTAAGCATGACCTACCATTTTAGCATAGTTTAATCCCAATCAGTTACCCAGGTTAGCATTTACGCAGGCTACGAACACTAGATCCACGACCACTGGACTGGTATTCTGCTATTTAAGGAGATCACAATAGGTAAGGAAATACTACTTTACAAACAGAACATAGCCGTACAACTTCAATGCATTAATTGTAGCTGTGTATGGTGTAAGGAAATAGTGTTAAAATGCTTGCAGGAGGGGACCTCATAATTCTGCCTCTCTCCTTCAAAATATTCATTTATCCATCATCTTTTGATAAGCAGCATGACTGACAAAGATTGAATGACTGCTTTGAGTGATGAACCAAGCAGCCTCTTGGAGATGGATGAATGACAAGTGTCATCACAGGCAAGCAGGGGCCCAAGTACATCGCTGTGAGTTAGTTACAACAGAACTGACTGCTGGGTTTCTGTTATGCGCAGTTTCTTTTAGGGGCCTAAGTAAGCAGCAGAGAAGTTTTGAGACTAAATATGTCCAACCACGTTACACTAATGAGTGTCATGTACAAAGCAGTAACTTATTCTTGTAGAGGGGAAAGAAGCCACTGCATGTTAAGATTTATTTAAATAGTATATCCAAATAAGAAATTGCACATCAGCTGCTTACATTTCATGACTACCTGTTCAGTCCCCAGAGAAGTTGCTATCATCACTGTATGAGATACTTTTTATCATGTTTTTTATCCAGTTTTACTTGGATTCTCTCACAAAGCAAGGACGGCCTCCTTTTTTGTGAGTGTTCAAGAGCAGAAAGTACCTGACTGAGGAGACAAGTTACCAAGACTATACCTTCAAAAAATAGACCATCTTGTATCTGTTCGATGCATTTAAGTAAATTAACTTCACAAACGTCGAGCCTGCTACATTTCAAAACCATTCTCAGCCACTGAAGAATCCGTGCTGGTCAAGACTCTCAGGTTGAAAGAACTGTCCCTAGTCATTTTTATTCCTACAGACACGAAGCGGTTTGTACTTCAGCTGTGATGAGAATACCATAAAAGTTGAGAAATGAAACCGTCATCAGAATATACCTACCGGTGTTTTAACAAGTCAGTTTAATTTGTTTGGAAATGGAAGAGGTTTTAGAAAAGAGAAAGGAAAGTTATGTAGTAAGCTGCAAAATCACAGGTGTTAAAACATGCAAATTTCAAGAGAGCTAGAGTTTCAGTGTGGTACCATGAACACGGGAGTCAAGAGCTCAGTAAACACTGGTTAACATGCCAAACATCTCTAACAAATTACCATTGCCTAGCTTTGTTTATTGGTAAATCACTTTAGTAACCTGAATTCACAAATAAGCAGTAAATAACAAAAACTACAGATAAACACAGGTTACACATGCAAATTCCTGTTCACATATCACATGTGCAGGTACATTAAGAGCACAGTTCTAAAGATCCTTGACGAAACCAGGTTAACAAAAACAGTTTTAAAATGCAGGTATGAAAAAATTACATGTGAAGAATATAAAGATACCTTTTTACATTTCAGGACTCAAATGCTGCTTTTGATTATACCAGAAGTGTACGACAGCTACAAGATTCAAGTAAAAGCAGGAAGAGCTCAAGGAAATAATACTGGTCAGAGGAGAATGGGCATTTACTTTTCCACTAAAAATACAAGGTATAGCCAAATAGGAAAGTCTATCAAGAGCTTAGAAAAAAAAAATCACAAAGTTGTAAAGCTGACTAATCACTACTTTTCCTATTTGCTATATAACAGCAATGACATTAAAAGAAACTGCAATTCAACATTTAAAAATGCAACTTACATTTAAAGACTTTTCAAAAGTGAAATGCAATGACAGCCTTACACTCCAAATTAAGTATCTGCTAGGCTCAGACTGAAATATGGAATGTTCTAGATGAAAAAAATACAGTGTTACTTTTTATTTTTTATTGAGAATGGAAAGACAAATTTTTGAAGCTTGAAAGTAGTAAATCTCACTTAAAGGAAATTTTCTCGCCATAGATGAGCTTTCCACAAAGATGCAATATTTTGTCTTTAATAGCTCAAAGTGCCAAAACGAAAACTTGTTGCCATTCCCACATTAAGAACAAATTTTTGTCATTAACTTAACTGCTTATGCTTTTTGCTACAACATTTAACACATGAATAGACCTATAATGCCTACTGTATTTCACTAAAACAAAAAAGAATACAGTATTTCCATCTACTACTTGTACTGCTTTTAAAAAAGATTAACATTAAAAACAAAGCCACTGTTCCTTACATCCGTCCTTCCTTTTATGCTTCTTTCTTTTGCCTGTGGTCTTCTGCCATTTTATCCAGAATTTTCTGTTAAAAGAAACCAACCATAGTTTGGATACATTTAAGAGTTTCTTGCAGTCCCGACATCAAGATCATAAAGATAAACCCAATTTTCACTTTGTAAAATTTATGAATGCCAACTGCAGAGGTCAAACAAACAAGACTGGCACTTCTCCACATGCTGTCATGAAGCAGATCTTTCAAGTGCTACGTTATCATTAAAATACTGAGCACACTGCTCACCAACAGCAAACATCCAAATGGCAGCCTCTGCAAGCTTTTATGTGGTCCTGCCATTAGTGTCTTCCTAACAGGTTGGCAAGCCAAGAGAATTACTTTCCACTTCATCATGGACTCACAATAGTGGTTGTGCTACTTACCTGGTTGGAATTAGCCATCTACAGTGCCAGGGACAAAACATCTCCCTTCCCTAGAGAAGGGTTGCATTGGAAATTTGAGGAATTTGGTATCATTTCAGTTTTTGGTAGCGATATCAATTAATCTAATTATTTACTCTTACCACTCTCAAAGAGAGTAAGAATCCCAGCTAGAGAAGTGCCTTGCCACTGAAACAAAACATGCATTTTCCCCTTCCCTCCCCAATTTTAAACCCACACCAGCATCACAAGTCACTCAAGAGCAGCTCATTCACCAGTCATTTCTACCACAGAAAAAGCAAATCAGAACACATTTAATTTACATACTCAAGTTAATAAATTGTAAACAACTCTCTGGATCATTTGCCCCATGTCCCCTTATACAGCAAGTCTTAAAAGTCCCCAAATCAGGTACCTCAATGGAAAAAAAAATAAAAAAGAAAAAAGCTATGGGTGATGGATGAAGTGAGGTTTTCTTACTACAGGATTCTGCATGGTAGTTGATTTTCTGATCTAATTCTTGATAATGTTGTTTGCTTTGTGACACTTATTTTTGCCACCTGCCTTTCAAATACAGGGCCCTACATTTGTTTTAGGGTTGCCTAGCATTGCAAGAGGGAAAGCAAACGTTTTGAGATCTGAGACGCCACCTTCTTCCTTATGGAACCCACCGACTTTGATTTCAGCTCAATAATTGACTGACATGAAATCAATTGATGTGAACACTGCGTTAATTAAGAGTTTTGTTTAGGATTTCCCTTTCCGGGAAGGGGTATTTCAAAGCAGCTCACAGTACACAAAAATACAGCAGCAGCATTACCATTCATGCCATGCAATCATGTGATACCTAATCCAATTAGAAACTGCAAAACATGCTCACAAAATCAGAAGTTGCAAATATGGATTTTTAACAAAAATATGTAAATTCAGCTTAAGCTCTGTTGACTGGTTAAAAATACTCTCAAAGGGACAACTGGAAGAGATTTGAGTCACCAGTATTTACTTTGCGCCACTAACTCTAAGCCTGCAGTCTAATCCAATCAGAATGCCCTCTTTAATCAGAGTTTATTAAAAAAATGCTGGAACCCATCTTTTAAAAGGTGTATCCTGTCTGTTATTCTCAAAAGATGAAGTTTTGGAGATATCTACCTTGAGTTAGAAGTTATAGAATAAGCCAATTTCCACTGCCTGGAAGCTTTTATTTTATTTTTCTTCAGTCCGGTTTCATTCAGATCTATTCCCCAGGAAAGAATCACGCCACTTAAAATGAACAAGTTTTTGCCTTACCTTCAACTTTTGATAATGAGGAAGGCTGCTGCAATGGGTCTTTTTTGCAACATCTTCATTTGTGTAGAACAGGGAACACAATTTGCAATAAAACCCTGTTTTGGGTACCACATAATTCACACCTAGAGAAGTAAACACCACAAAATAAACTAAGAGATCTACTCTACATCAATTTTTTTAATGTCATATGTCATTTCAAACTAAATCTTAAACCATAATCCACTTTACATTAAAAGCTGCTTTGTCTTTAAAAGTCGTTGGTTTAGTTTATTCAAGCCAGGGACCTACAGTAATAACTAAATATGTGCAGACTTTTTTTTTTAATCAACTTTTCAGTTTAAGGGTCTATTTTATTGGTCCCTTCAAAAGAACTAACAACGTTCTGTGATCAATTTGTGAGTTTTGAGTATTTAGTATGAATCTAAACTAATATCACTACTGTGACTTGTGCTATTAATTGAATCTGTGTTGCTAAAATACACCTCTTCCAATTTAATTTCTGCCTAAGGAAAGTGTTATGGAGAACTGTATGAAAATAAGGAAAAAATAACAGAAAGAGAAAACTAGAGGTAGGGAAGGAGTGAAGAAGGAGAGAAGAGTGGGAAGCCCTAAAATGAAAGGCTCAAAGGCAATGCACTGCCAGAAATAAAAGTCAAATGAAATGAGAAATGCTACTGCAATGTACAAAGGCATATTTGAAGAGAAATGGAAACAGCCTTACCAACAGGAATGTTTGGCTGGTATGGCCCAATCCTAAATTCATCTGGAACAGCAGCTTTCTCTTGGACATTCTTTGTTTCCTGTTCATCCTGGGTGTCTGTATTTTCATGGGCATTTTTCTCAGTATCTTGTGCTGTTGTGGTATCAGAAGCTTCAGCAGCTTCAGCCTTCGGATTTTCTTCAGTCTTGGTACCATTTTCTAGTGTTTCATTTTCCTGCTCTGGCTCCTCAATCTTGTCTACCTTGATTTCTGCCAAACTATCATCATTTTTGCCAGCAACTTTTATTGCCAAACCCGACTTGCGAAGTTTCTGATGATCTGAGTCTTCTTCATCACCAACTTCATCTAGAGTGACAAAGCCTTCCATGCTCCGTGGAAAGCCACCCACGTATCGCTGTTGAGAAAACGTTTTCCTTAAGTCAGCTTATTCTTAAATGCTTCCCTCAAATTGTCTTAGGTTTCAGAAGAGAAACAGCTTCTCCAGACTTCCCGGAAAAAGCTAAAATTATTCAACACCTATCTCGCTCATTCAAAATGTAGCAAGTTCTTTTTAAATGTACTCCACTGTCCTAGAGTCAGGTGTTCAATTTTGGAATAAATATTTTAATATTACCATAGTGTTTTTTTGTTTTTTTGTTTTTTTTTTTTAAATCAACATATCTGCAACTTGATAATTTTGGTAGCTTGTTGATTATACTTATTTTGAAAGTCCTACCATGAAAATTTAAAAAAAAATAAGTAAGTGAATGTCATTTTGGACCTTCTCAGAATAATTCTGTGCCCACTAATAGTATGAAAGGTCATTAAAAAAATTACTAAGATCGTTCTTCCAACCACTGGAAAGCTTGGAGCTTCCCCTTTAAAAAAAATAATGAAGGTTTCTTAAAATCCAGCTTCATTAAGACAGCAAATTTCTCTGAAATCTGCTTTTTTTGCAACATTCCTGCAGATATGGAGACATCAGTATTTACATGTTTAACAGCAATCATGAGTAGTAGAGGAAGAGAAACAGCATTAGCTTTCCATCCGTGCTCTACATATAGTTCAAGAAAACAAGTTTGAGTTTTGAGATGGTTTACCTTGACAGGTAGCCACATAACAAGAAACAGCCACTGCCACTTGCAGCGGCAATATTAACCCCAACACCATGTAACTAGCTTCCTGACAGAAAGATTCTCCAAAATCAAAAGGCATGCACACTGCACTCATTAAGAGCAAGGAACATGCCTTGCTTTTTCTTTTTTTTTTTTTATGAAGCAACATTCCAGTCAATGAAGTTACTGCAACTTTGCATACTGGCCATTTTGCAGGCTACTCCACATAACCAAGTAAGATTTAAACAGGAAAAAAAGCAGCTAAGAGGACATAAACATGAGAGTGCGTGATCATCTGGTGAGAAAAATGTCTACCTCTCTGGCTAAACATAATTAGTAGATACACATGTAATTTTCTGAAGTGTAAAACAGCTTCAAGCCTCAAATATATTTTTCAATATCATTTTTCTGCTCTGTGCTCAAAGAGTAACTACAGCCAGGCTGCTGGGACTAACAGTTCCTGGCTGCTTGATATTAGTCAAGAGAGGAGCAAAGAGAAAAGTGAGAAAAGAAAGAAAAAATCCCAGGAAATTATTTGGGTGGAAGCCCACAAGTTACTGGTTTTTGTCAAAACAGAAACACTGATTTTTAACTGACTTAATTTGTAATTTGTATCCAATGGGTTCTTCCATTTTCTTCACAGAGGCTTTTACACCTGTTTCTCTTCAGACAGGCACAACACGCATGCATTTTAAAGACAGACCCAGAGAAATTATCTAAAACAGAATGAGGTTTGCTATTCAAATTCATGTTTTCTATGCTCCGGTACCTTGCTATACAATTACCTTTTTAAGTTTTTTCTTTGTTGCTGGATTGGCCACAACATTTCCCTCAGTTTTTACGGTCACATCATCAGCTGGCTCCTTTTTTACTTCAGTAGTCACATCAGTTAAATTGGCAACATCTGCATCATCTCCTGCTGAGCTGCCACTTTCCAACAGTGCTGCTGCTTCCTCTTCATCCACTAGCAGCTCATCTTCAGATTCAAGGAGTAAACTAGGCTCATCTTGGTCTGTTTGTTCAGTGCTTTTAGCGCCTGATGGCTCAGCAGCATCATCTTGTTTCTCTTCTTTAGTTTTATCTTCCACGTTGCCACTTTCAGGTTTCTGAGCAGCATCAGTCTTAGACTTCTTGTCGCTTGGAGAGTCTTTGCTGTCTGGAGAGTATGTTCTCTTTCTGTAAAGAAGAATACTTGTTTGTGAACGTGAAGAGCACCCAGAAATGACTAAAAAAGGTAGGTTATATTTTTCAAGACAAGCCTGAAAACTCGGTGTTTAGTTCAGAAAATGGAAGCTTGAGAGAAACATAACACGAGTCTTCAAGTGGCTGCTGCAAGTTGTCCTTACAAGATAGGACAACTGCTTGTGGGTATAAATTGCAGGAAGGCGAGGATAATTAAGGACTGGAACAGATTTCCTGAGGAGCCTGAAGAGGCTGTGAAATCTCCTTCATTAAAGGAAAAGAATAGGTACTGTATTAGAAACGGTTAATCTCAGAGCTTGCCAGACTTCTTTTGTACAACTTCTATGCATTGTATAACGTATTTTTATGTTTCTTTTAAACAGTGTTCTGTTTTAATAATAGGAAGTTACCTAGTTTTATCCTTTTTCAGTAGTTCAACTCCTTTGTTTGGAATCTAAAATTAAAAAAAAAAATTGTAAGTCACAGTAGAGTATTATTTATAGAAGCACTGCAGCATTAATTCAGACTATACCGTAAAATCTCGTCAAGCACTTCCAATTATTCTAATCCACAAGTACTCTTATACAACGTCCAACTTGCAAACAATCAATAAATTGCTGTTATGTTAGACAAGACTTCACGAACCTAGTAATCCCCAGTCTTTCTTCACGAAAATGATCTGTTACTTGATACAAAAATGGGATAGCCTGCTCCGGAAAGTCAAATACAGCAGCTCTTTTGTTTATGAACTGATTAGACACAGTGCAAGGCAAGAAGTTGGTCTTAATCTATGCTCTTTTCACTACCATTAGAAGTGGAATACACAGAAAGCTCAAGACTTACATTTCCCTTAAATAAGAGTTACTGAACAGAAAATTCCACTTATTCTCCATATTAATACTATACAAGTCAGTGCACTGGTTAAGTATTTGAACTTGCCACTAAATATTCATTTTTGGTATGTGACCATGTGCAATAGTAAGATTTCTCCATGTTGCACAATAAAAAGACTATTTAAAAGCTAATTAGAGAGCTTGACAAAGTCTTACAATGCACACAGGTCTTCCACCCAGCTTCTCATTTTAAATCACAGTTCATTTGACAGAGGAGGATGAGAAGAAACAATCCACATTACAGAATGTTTAAGCAGAGAAAGTTTATTTAAAATCTAAATCAATTACATTAGAATGTTTTTTCATGTTTTAAATCTGAAAGGAGATTCCTTTTACTTTGTTCTACAACTCATAACACCACACTCCTACTAAATACCATTTAAGTCACCAGAAAATATGACAATGAATAATTTTTAAAGTGGCATTGAATTCTCAATAAGTGATAGCTGTCTTCCGATTTACACCTTCAATTACAATTACAAAACAGTTACTAAAAACAGTACTTACCCTTAACACCAATTTCTTGTATTTTTCAGATAAATCCACTTTCACACACCTGCCTTGGAACCAAAGCGCTTTGTTGGCACAATGCTCAACCATAGCTAAAGCATCTTCTCTGGTCTCCATCTCAATGAAAGCCTGAAAAGATTAAAATACACATCAGAAACTACCACAAAACACACAAATAGCTTGCCAGTTGAAGTGTTAACTTAAAACACAGCACTTCAAAAAGATGAAACCAAATGATGAGATCCAGGTATATGCATCCCCTCCAAACTAGCTAAACATGTCAGTATTTCCTAAAGCGCCCTACATCTCCTTCATCTTCAATTCAATAATTGAATCCTCTAGAGAGTTTCAGAAACAAAATATCATGTATTTAAGTAATCTGAAAAAGTCACCTTAAAGCGTAAATCGAGTCCAAAAAAAAGCATCTGGAATATGAAACTCATTTTTTTTGGTGCTAAAGTATCTGCGACTTTCAAGGTACCAAGGAGATCTAGGGGTTTGAGTAATTTTTCTTTGTTGTTGTTTTGTTTTTGAAGAAGTTTGAAACAGAAATGCAGCAGATACTGGCTTACAAGCCCGGCTTTATGAGATGTTCCTCCATGGAAACAAGCCTACAGCACGTTAAGATTGCTGAGCAAGCTTTGCACATCTGGGTTTGAGCATCAGCAGCAGATAGAAGAAAGCTGTTTCTGCATCAAACTGAGCAAGGTTCTTTTGTTTCTCCAGTGAAATAAGGTCACGGTGGACTTCTTAGGGGGTCATACAATAGATTCTAGTAATTTTTGATTCCACAACATGAGCGTGGCATTGTGGAATTCATCTCTGAAGAAAGAAAACATTTCTTATTTAAATGAAGGTAAGAACAACAAGTTGGGATAGTGAAGTGGGAAAAAATTAGAACTAGAGACTTAAAATTCTTGTGTATGCTTGGAAGTACATGTGCATACAAAAGTGTTTGTACTAATCATCAAGTTTTTTTTTTGTTTGTTTGTTTTTTTTTCCAATTTTGAGAGCCACAGTAGTACTGCTTTTGCTTAAAGAATGAAAAATACAGGGTAAGTGAAAGAAACACGGAACACTAGAAGATATTTGTTAGTGTCCCATAGGCACTGCTTCTTCAACCTCGAGAAAAAGGGTTCAAAATGCCTAGGAGATGTGCCTAACAAAAAGTTAAGCTTGAAAGCTAAATATGCTTGCTTCACAGCTAGGGCCGAGTTTTACTTTTATATTTAAAAAATATCAGCTCACGTTACAGTAACACTTCACAGTAAGCTAAATAGCAAAACACCACCCACACAGCCCTCTAATAACTTCTGTTTCTATGCTGCAGCAGCAGCCTACAGAGGCATCAGTTACCTCACTGTTGAGCCTCAGTTTAAATCCACGCATTTATGTTCCTACGGTCAGTTACCTGACTCTTCATTCTCATGAGTATGTAGTTCTTAATTTTTCCATATGGTTCAGCCAGTTTGAGTACTGCGTTATCAGAGTATCCCGAATGAGGTAAATTGCTGAGGTGAATCACACGACCAAGTTCTGGTTTTGGCGGCTCGGTTTTTTGGTCAGGTTTGCCCTCGGGTTTCTAAAATTTAAGAGTGAACGCATTTGTTAAAGTACATGCTACACAAAATGTACTTAATACTGAACCACTTAAAGCAATAAGTTATATCCATCTTTGTCCCTTGATTAACTTGAAATAGCAGAGAAGTAGCTAGATTAGGAGTAAAAATGTAAATGTAATGGCCTGGTAACAATGACTGCCCCAAATGAAAGTAAGGTAACAAGAAAAAAGCCCACGTATTTTACCTTTATTCTTTTGTACTTCTGTGACAAGTGGACTCTGACTGGTTTACCAAATACGAGCGCTGGAGTTGTCGAATAGTATTCTACTGCTGCCTGGGCATCTTCAGTGGTCGACATTTCGATAAATGCCTGAAATCATACAAAACCAGATTAAGCACCACTCCTTCAAGGAACTGGTATTTCTGTTTGAAATCTCTAGCTCTTTGCTTTCCTGTAAAAATGTCTGTATCCAAGATGAAAATTGCTTTTCGGTTACAACATTAACTGGCCTGCAGAGCTCAGTATGAATTTCACATAATTTATTTAGGTGCACAAACAGAACTACTCTGTTTGTTCACATTTCAATTACATTTGGATTCAGAACATTCAATTGCTTCCTTCCCCCCTTCAGGCTTTTTCACTTCATGTTGGCTTTTTCCACCCTTCAAGATATGACAATCTCAGTAAACTAAGACCAAATAAGCCTTCAGAGGATATTAAAACAAGAACCGAACTTGCCAACAGTGTATTTTTAAGAAAGCTGGGAACAACAACAAGATGGAATTTTAACAATATTTACCTTAAAATGCAGTATTACCACATTTGTGAAAAGAAGCATACTAGTCACTCTTCCCTTCACATGTGATCTTGGTGACAAGCATGTAATCTTGCTTGGTAGCCAAGTTCTCTTATGAAAATTTCAGGTCAGACAGTACACATATCAAAGATAGCAAGCAGTGCCAACAGCACTACTATAGGGCTTAATCTTACCTCATTGATTTTGTTTAGAATCAGGTGATTTGTAATTATTCCAAATGGCTCAACGAGCTGAAGCAGCTGATACCTCAAGTTCTTCCCTCTCTGGAAATCCATGATGTGAACAACTCTGCTCGTTTCCTATTGAAGACAAAAGTACACATACACAACACATGTACCAGGGAACCTTAAAAGTCTTTCAAGACATATGTATGTATTTTAAATCTTCATTAGTAATCAAAACTAGACACACAGAAAAGCCACAGAATATCCAGGGATTCTCATGGAAAAAGATGCCTGCTGTGCCAAAGCCTCCTTTTTTTGTTATCGTGCCGCACAGCTTCTTCCTAAGAGGTTATGTAACATTTAAATAGTCTGTACAGTTTTAGCACATTTTGTAGAGCATTTGGTACAATGAAACCCCAATCTCATTCCACAGCTTCAATATTCCCACACAAAGAAGTCTCAATATCTGAATATTTTAATGACACTACATTCATTCAGAACATCTTATGAAAGTAAACAGAAAGCATATTCACAAAAAAAAGGTTAACGTTCCTCAAAGATTTTTAGAGAAACTTTTAATACTAACCACTCTGCCCTTTTGCATGTGTCTCGGTCCTTGCATATTTCCATTTCCAGCTCCTTCAAAAAATGAAAGGAATGAGTAAGTTTAGTTCAACCCACAAGGCTATTAACATCTCTTTAGAAGTTCCGAAGAGACAGACGTCACTTGTAATACTAAAACAGAATGACATCAAGTTTTAAGAAGTCATTTAATCATTAACAATCTGAAAAGGCTGTTAATGTTGTGCATTTCAGAGCTCTTGCAGCTTCAGGTCCTTCCTGATTCTGTTCGCTTCAGTATTAGAGAAGAATTTGCATTTACTAATGAGCTGAAACACCAGGAAATAAGTAAAGCATCGTGAAAAACATCTTTCCTGTTTTAGAGTAAGATTTGTCATAGAAAAATGCCTTCATATATAAAAGGTTTGAAATCTCCAAGAAGACAGACTTCTTACAATGGAAGTTCTAGCTGCAGAAAAAGAATCCTACTTTTGGTTCTAAAATAGCACCAATTCTATCATAACACACATTTCACTAGGGACTCCTGGAGGAAACAGTCCTTCAAATACCTTGGTTAAAAAATCAGAGATGTTTTGAAAAGTTATCAGTTATTTTTAATGAAATTGCATGACATATGCTTTTATATTTAAATGTTCCTTTAAAGTCTCTAAAGACATGCAATCCATCAGGGTATCTATGTTTAATTAGTTTTGTTTTTTACTCACTCAAACTATTTAGAAGGTAAGAAGTAACAAGTTCATGTGAACACCTGATTTTTATTCTGCCTTCCTGCGAAGATAAGGCTTGCAAATCTGTCAAATTCATTAAGGGAAAGACTAATGACATTCAGTTCTTGCAAATTTAACAAAAATCCACTAACATAGAGCTAAACAGAAGACACGCAAAAGACTTCTAGACAGGAAAAAAATGTAAAGCCCCATAACATGTGCTGATTGATTGTAATAAAACATCTGATAAAAAGAGTAATAACGTGTCTGGTAGTCAAGGGATGGGTGAAACATGGAAGGAAAGTATATATACTGGGGAAAAAAGTAAAAGTATTTCAGTTCCACTGTTAAGAGAGAGAGCCTTTTTTTTTTCTTGTTCTAAAACACCAGTAACAAACTAAAAACACAAAAAAGAAAAAATCAAGAAGTCTGGTGAAAGTAGGTTAAGAAAAAACACAACTAAATCCCCAAGCACAGCAAGTGGAAAAGCTGGTGTTGCTGCTGGGAGCATTCAGTGTCTAACTACTCTCACTCAAATCCTGATACACCGAAAAACTTCCTATTGAAGTCTGGTACTTCACATGAGCCGAAGTTTAAGTGAAGGACATCCACTCTGGGCACATTATTGTTACCTCTTGGCCCAACAGGAGGTCCTCCCAGGTGAAACGGAGGTGGTGGGGGTCCCAGAATTCCTGGTGCAGGGTTTGTGGATTGCTGCAACATAAAGGGATCACCCCTAGAAAAAGGGAAAAAAAAACAACTTAATTTTAAAACAAAATCTGTGACGTCTCTATTGTCCAGCCACCCAACTCCTACACAATATCCAAGGACAAGTCAACTTTAGCTACCTGTGCCGCTGCTCTTCAGCTACTAGGAAACAGACAGTTATCCATTTGAAGAAAGTAGGATGTTTCACATCAAATGTTACAAAGAGCTTCACATAAAGTAACAGGTACTTCAAAGCATCAAGATTAAAAGGCAACTAAAACTGTGCAGTTTTGATTAAGACTGTGTTGTTCAAACCAGCAGAATAACAGTGCAATTTCTGTTGTCCATCATTCGTTACTACTTACATTCCATGTCCTGAATCACTGTCAGGATTCCATTCTGGGTATCTTGAAAGCAAAGAAAAAAAGAACAAAGATAAGAAAAATCCAATCACCTCTCACTGTACGAAAACAGGTATAAAATTATCGAGTGAACAGCAATGCCTTTACACATTACATAAACAACACATGCTAACATTGCCAACCACAGTACTGCTTCCAGAAACATGAGTAGTATTTAAGGACAAAGTGTCATTCAGAGAAACTTCCTACACTGAATGCAACCTGGCTGTATACATTAATTTGCCTATATTAGGAGTTCCCTTTACAAAAAAAACAATGGATCAAGCGTGATTAGCAAAAAACAACCCAACAAACAAACAAAAAAATAATCAAGTGACTTGCTAGGATGCAAGGAAATAGCCTCAGGTTGCACCAGGGGAGGCCCAGAGCGGGCCTCAGGCAGAATTTGGTCCCGCAGAGGCTGGCCAAGTGCTGGGACGGGCTGCCCGGGGCACTGGGGGGGTCCCCACCCCAGGGGTGTGTAAAGGACGTGTAGACGTGGTGCTTGGGGACACGGCTCAGTGGGGGACACTTGGTCAGTCGGAGGCAGCTGGGCCTGGTGAACCCAAAGGTCTCTTTCAACCTTGATGATTCTATGATTAGACTCTTATATGTAATATTCTAGAGTTATCCTAGATCAGGAGGATTCAAAATTTACAAACCAATATCCCTTTGTGCCCTGAAAATGCTCTTTTAAGTAGCACATCTTTATTCCCTGCGATGCACAGCATGTTTTCTAAACCTGCTTTGTGCACCACAGTTGACAGTTGTTTACTTATACACGCCCTCACGCCACAAGAATGTACTTCAAATTCATACATTTCGAGAAGCAGCTGACAACGTCGGCTGTGAGTCGCTCCATTGATATGATGGTTCCACTCCTGCAGCAAAGTAAATAATTAAAAATTAAAAGCTATATATGGAAAGCCATTTTTAACAAAAATAACGTTGTGTAGTGCAGTATCTTCTCTTCTAAACTGAAGTATCTTAGATACATAAATAGATAGCAAAATAATTGTGTGTGTGCACTTTGAAGTCACACTGAAACTGGACCCACCTCTTAAATTCTAGCCTGGGTGAAAAGGTGTCTGATGAAAAATGCCTTGTGATCTAGGGGCTTGATCCTGCCTCAGCACGCAAAGCTTGCAGGAGGGTAACTGCTACAGTATGCGTGTGTAGCACTGCAATTTCAACCTTCAGAACTGGATGCTGAGATTTGTTTTTTTTTCCAGTAATTTTAGAATTTCCTCTACTCTCTCTGCTTTATTCCTCGGACTTTCAAAGATTAATGCAAACTAAACACTCAAGTTTTTAAAACCATTAAGAAGTCGAGAAACTGCAAGGAATTCAGAAAGGAAAGACTAAAAGGAACGAAAGTACATAGCTAGGACAAACTACAACTATATATGTGAAATATAAAAATACAGGAGCATTGGAGGGGAATAATCAAGACAAACAGGGGACCTAATCAAGATGGTACAAGGGAGGAAAACCAAATTACCTCAGTATGAGAGTGAAGTTCATAATCCCTCATGTCTACAGGAGGAGCAGGGGCAGTGAGCAGCACAAAGGGTAACACATTGTGCAATTACAGAAGCCACTACATAAGAGCCAGCATCTTGAGTAACGAGAAAGGACGTTAACTGCACCTTCCAAGCTACCTGAGCTCTTTTTTTATTCTTATTTTTTACATTAGCTAGAGGCTTACCAGTGTCTGCTAAATGTACAATTCCCTCTGGTTCTGGCCTTAGCACGAGGTAAGGAACGAGGCTTTCTATTTTATTTATTTTTTTATTACAAAGGGAGCTCACCTCCCAGCTGTTTATTTCAAGATGAGAGAAGGCATGGGGACTCTTCCTTTATTTAAGTGCGGGGTGCCTGACCACATCGGGATATTCCTACAAAGTGACAGGACTTCCTCAGTCCCATGGCTACCCAAGGGTAAGCCCCTGGTGTTATTTCCACTCTGCTGGTCTGTAAGCAAGGGATCAGCAGCAGATGTATGGGGCAAGCTGGCTTTGGGTCCATGGAGAGCAATGAGGGGGAGACTAGTTACAGCTCTTCTGGGGGCAGTTTAACAACTGGAGGTTTCTTCTTGTCAGCTGCATTTTCAGAAGTGAACACACACACTGCGTTGGCCAACTGTTTCAGATGTCTTGTCTTTTCATGTTCTACTCAGCACTGGCAAATTATTTTTCCTAAATGATTTTTCCTGATTTTTTAGTTTCCACCACACTGCAGCCATCCCTCTGGTTACAATGAGACACCCTGACGCTCACTGCACTGTTTCCATACGCTAAAAGCCTATCTAGCACTTTCCACAAGGGAGAAAAAAAAAAGGGATTTCAAGTCTCCCACGAAGTACTGTCATTAAACTGCACTGGATTATTACTCCATGCTACAAATTATAACATGGAACAGGATGAAACTTTCTTTTTTTAAATCAAGATGTAAAATGAGAGCACTACTTTTTCTTGTAAGCCAGTAAAATGTAGGCTCTGCAACTATAAATTAACAAATACACTTGCCATTAGAATTCAAAAAAAAGAAAAAAAAGGCCCCCCAAACCCACAAGCAAGCCCCGCTATCTCTGGAACATGCAATACCTAAAACCAAAGGTTCTTCAGTTTAAAACTCAGCAACAAGTTTTAGTGCTATGGAACACAAAACATTTAAATATTGAAAAACCCTCTAAATTCGGATGCCCAATCTGTAAAGCCTCAGCAGCTGATTCTGCTCGACATACCGTGCCTTTGAAGCTGTTTTAACACGTACTTTCAAATTATTATAAACTGAAATTATCTGCAAGCTAGAGCCAAAGTTTGGGGGATCTAATTCTTATACTTCAAAAGCTTTTAAAAAAATTGGCAAAAAAGGGAGATTTAATGTATAAAACAGGATTTTTTTTTCCCCCAGGGAAAGTTTTCAGAACAACAGTAGCTCATCTACATTATTACCCCTTTATTAATACAGTTCTTAATCTCAACATCCCTCCACTCCCTTCCTACACCCAGTCTGAAGTGCCACTCATTGCAGGGCCCCACATATTTAGACACTAATTAACATGAATGCCCAAAGTTAAACTAAAGAAATTCTGAATCGAGTTTATTAAAACACAGATTACTTCTGCTTCAACTGATGCAAGCATGAGGACATGGTGTTCTTTAGAAAATTAGGCCAAACTTAAGGACCTAATTTTAGATATTCCATTATTAGGGACACGGCCATGTTTTCCCTTTGAGTATATCACAGTTTCAAGCATTTAACCTCTAAATTCATCTGCTCGTGTTGCATCAGCCTTTGTCTTTGTCAGGGAAAACAATCCCTACACATTTAACACCTCGTTCCTTGACCAAGCTGTCAAGATTGACAAAATGCCTGAAAAAAATGGGGCAAAATTTCCTTCATAATTAGACACAAAACAAACTGGATCACAAATACATACACTTCAAATCAAAGCAATTAAGAACATCACAAAAAAAAAAAAAGAAAAAACAGGACTAGCCTGCCAGGCTAAGCTACATTTAGGGTGTTTACCTCCCTCCTTGGGCTTAAAAGATATACTGCTTTAGCATGCTTTTTTTTTTTTTTTTTAAATGTTATATAGTATTTATTAGGGGATGGGGAAAATGAGATTTTGATACCGTAGAAATAAGTTTACATTGTCCCAGCTAAGAATAGCATTCCCTTTCTGCTTTCCATACATTTTGGTTCAAATCCGATTACTTCACAAGTTCAGTTCTACTTAATTGAATTTTGTGAGAGATACAGAACAGCAAATTCTGTAACTGTTCGGTATGCAAAGCGGAGGAAAAAAGGAGAGAAAGAACAACGCTTGCCGTGACATGATTTCTGAAATAGAAACAAAACCCAAACTTGGGTCATAAGACACAGAAGATCCAATCTCAAATATTTTATGGTGTTCTCAGCAGTTTAAGTCAAAGCATGTCGCTAAAAAAGATGGGTTCGTGTGTTACAGAAGGAGTCAGTCACTTAAGGTACACTGTGGAAAGAATTTGGTATTTCTCGTACTTGGAAAGATATTTCAGGTTGGATATTCTTTAAACAGATCTTTATACCAAAGCACACGAAGAACAGTGAGGCTTTAAAACAAAGTGCTAAAAAGAACCCTACTTACAGGAGTACTGGTTGCCATCTTCAAGGGCCTCAGAAGTTTGTTTTCAATCTAACCAAGTGAACTTCTTTTTTTTACAAAACTGTGCATGGCATCTCAATTGTTAATACTTAAACCTTTTTCAAAAATGAATTTCAAATACAGGGCAAGAAACCTGGATTACTGTGACTGTTTTTCATAAAATAATTAAAACAACACGAGTTTACAATAAAGCGTCAGATCAGTTGGACTAGTACAGCATGTGCTCTAAAATGTCTTGATCGTCTCTTTGGAGGGACAGAACAATTCTCATGTTTCAAAAGATTAGATGTATAGAAGCAGCACTTTTTGAAAGGTAACTGTAAAGAAATGGTTAGTAACAGCAATTCCACATTGTACCAATTTTACAGTAATCGCATGTATTACATTTTCAATTGAAGGCCTTCAAGCTAATTAGTCACCAATTGTGACAAGAGGGGCACTGTATTAGCCAATTAGCCAATTAAATTGCCAAGTACACTGAAAATCAGCAAGATGAGTAAAATTGGAAAAGCTGAAAGGGAGAAGGCTCTGAAAATACCGTCTGAATAAACAGGCCATTTTGAGTACGCTGCCACCTTTGCAGAGAGCTGAACTATTTCATGAATAAACTAAGAGGGAGGTCTCAGCATAACTGAACACACTCGAAGATCCACTCTACTTGCGAGCCAAGTAAAGAACACTACTAGGAACACAGAGCAGGATACTGCAGCGGCAGACTGATTGCTCGGAGAGTCTACAGGGATAGATGCAACATGTGACAATAAAAAGTGAGTTTGAAGTGTCTAAGAGAGTTGTGAAAAAGGAGAAAAATGACGACAAATTTCAGCCATAGTATGAGATAGAGTGTTAAAGTGAAATTAAAAAGGCAAGAATGAGCTAATCTAAAACGTGATTTTTACTTTTGCAAATAAGTTCCAGGGCTCTACATTAACTCTTTCCCTTTGGACAGGGAAAAAGCAGAACTGTGCAAGAATGCATCTTAACTACGTATAAACCAGCAATCAAGACAGATGTGGAGGAGAGCTGAAACTAGCTTCCCGAATGGCACAGTAGATACACTGCAAAAAACCCCAAACCAACAAAAAATAAAAAACCCACCAAAAAACTGCTTAAATGCCAGATGTTTGTGGTTAAGAGAACATGTAGATGTAAAATACAAATAAGATACCCAGTAGATGATAGCTGTTTGACTGGAAGTTAAGCAATCTGGGCAAACAAAATACATTAATGTAAAGCCCTGGTTTACAACGTTTGTTAACAATTACCTTGTAAATAAACCAAGTGCCTTTTTCACTCTCAAACCAACTTTCAGATCATTTCAAAAGCAACCAGGCTATAGAAATAATTAAAGAAATAGGTAAAAACAGAACAGATACTACAACGTAAAGGAAAATAGAAGCATCTGGTGCGTAACTCACCTTATTAGAATGAACTGGCATATCACATATAGAGCACAGATGGGGATAACCCTTCGGTAAGAATCCATGGAAGTCTTCAATATTGCTATTTGGAGGAGCACCTCTCTTTTTCTCAAAGAGAGATCTCTCAGGACCAGGACCACGACCCATTCTGTCATACTCACTGTCAAATTTATGATAGTTATGCGAAGTCTCACCATAGAAAGATTCATCCCTACACCTTTCTCCATCTCTTAATCTGTCATCTTCATAATCCATTCTGTCATAATAACCAGATTCTTGAGAACGACTTCCATGGTCGTAGTCAACCACTGGGTTGAGACTAGGACCACGATCATCAAAGCTATCTCTTCTAAAATGCCTTTTTTCTTCCCAATCATCCCTAGGTACTCTGTACGGTGGTTCCCGTGTGGATGATCTGCCATCTCTACCATAACCTTCTTCAGCTCTCCTCCTTTTAAGTTGTAGAAGGATCTGAGGCAAGTTTTCAGGAGTAATCTTGTCCTCGGGATAGCGACTCAGTTCATCTAAGTCTCTAGCAGACAGACCAAAGCTGGCCAAAATGTTAGTGGCCTGGTCTGCATCTCCACGGTGCTGAGAAGACAAAGGGAGCGGACCTCTACTTCCAATGTTAAATATAGACTGCAAATTATGGGAAGAGGTACTACCAGAAGACAGTGCACTATGAGATCCTTGTTGGTTCAATGATGAACTCATTCCAAGATTCATTAAGCTAGCAAGGCGTGCAGTACCCTGGTTCATCCTTCCAAGAGATGCTGGCATATTTAAAGACTGGGTAGCAGCAGCAAGAAGGCCTATTCCTGCAGAGAGGTCACGCCCATGACCTTGTGAATCCCTACTTAGAGATGACTGCTGGAATGACTTGGACATTGTAGAACTAGAGCTCGTCTACTTTACGGATCAAAATCTCTTTGTTTGGTTGGGTTTAAGATGGCTGAAAAGAAAGCTCACACTAGAAAGCTAGGCAAACTTCACTTCAAAAATGGTAACGCCAAGAAAGAGGATCAATAATGACTGCAGATCTTCTTCAAGCTGAGAAACACCAGACAATTCTGTAGAAAAACAAGCAGTTTTAGTCATAAATCCCTTTAAACAGATGCAGTTTTAAACTTATGCATCATGTTGATCTAAAACATTAAAGAGCTCAATCTTACAAGGCTTTTATTACATAACTTAACAGATTCAAGATGTACCCAGAACCTACATAAATCATTTCAGATAAAAATACAGCAGTGTTTCCTGTACATACTACTATTCTACAAAAAACTACTTTTATACCGAAGACAAGTGAGTTTCCGAAGTTTGGGATGTCTGAAAGCATCTAAGTTTACTAGCACATAAGCCTTGATCTCTGCTTTTGGTTTGGTTTATAACCTACATTGCTAACCTGCATTCTATGAGAAGACCACAAAAACACCTTAAGTCCACAGAATCCGAGATGACTCTGGCATATCATACATACTTGAAAATGAAACCTATACCACCACAGAACAGGACGAAAGGAAGTTTAAAGTAACTGAAGTTTGGGCAACAAGCTTCTGCTGTAAGATCTGGTAAATGAGACCAAACATAATATTCAATCTTTATGCAGTAAAAATCAAATTACCGACGTGAAGACAGATGTGAATGAGAAAACCAAGTTTTAAATTTTGCAGGAAGGAAATAAGACCTCTTGCTCCAATTGCAGTTATACAGCTACCAGCACATGGGAAGTGACTATTGTTACACTGCAGCTGTGACAGCAGCCTGGACCTTCAGACCTCAAGCTACACAAGGTCAGGCTCAGCCCTGGGCTGGGAGGCCCAAGGAAACCCTGCTCCTGCCCAAAGAGACCCCTGGGAGGTCAGTAGATGGCACCACGCCGCAGCCTGCACTGCTGGGCAGCAGCAGCATGTCTCTTACCAGCACACTGCTTCTGTGGTTGCAGCTGGCACTGACACCGTGACCACATGTGGCAGTTAAAGATCCTACAGCTCACGGGGATGGCTACCTGCCCTGCAGCCCACAGAAACCCTCACCTAGCACTTAAATACCTGGTTCTACTCCATTTACTTTAATTTTTTAACTACAGAGTGCATCAAAATCCACAATGTATTTTTGGTGCAACGGATATATTTCAGAAAATATTGTTTTTACTAGTGCAGAACAGAAATAACCTGTAATACATCTCCCCCATGCTGCTTCAGCTTTGGGACGGATACACAGAATTGAGAGCAATTCCACCCACGTGAAACCTTTCTGCTGAGAATACGTTGTTTTGGGTCCCAAGTGCAGTAAAGCCCTTCCAAACCTCTGCAGAGCCATTTCGTTTTTGCACTGCTACTCCATTGCACATAAAAGACATAATGGCTTGAAAAAGAATTAGGCATAAATTGCACAGCTCCAAATGAAATCAGCTTCTAAGAACAGGTATGTCTAGGGAGGAACGGAAAGGACAAAATGAAAGCAAGGACTTTTCCTTGAAGATACCAGTTGTGTAGGAGGCAATTTCTCTTGTACTGGAAACAAGAAAAAAAGGTCAAGGTTACGTGTGTGCCTCCATCCCAGCTGCCGGCTCAATTCAGAGCCCTGTTTCACAAGTGCTTCAAGTTTCTCTTTTTTTTTTTTTTTAAAGCTGTAAAGCACTTCAAATTTCTTTTTCTATTTCATATGAAGGTAGCAGCATTATAAAACTATGCTCCTATATAGAAAAATAATGGATTCTACAAGATAGAGTATATAAAACCCACTTTTTCAAAGACAATTCTGTGTAACTGTTTTATACAACTTTCTGTATATTCCATTATTGACCCATCTAAACTCTTATTTCATTTGTGCTTTTAAAATCTTTGGATTTGGAGTCACTTGCTAGCACATTAAATTGTGTAATTTGGGTTAAGAGTCAGAGATTAAGAAACATGAGGATGAAAATAAGTTTAAAAGTCTCTGAGGCAGAAGACAGGCACTGCAGAAAGCATCAGAGGAGAGCAATGAAACAAGAATACAGAGAGGGCAGGCACAGCAAACAGTGAGCGAGATGTGCAGGACAGGCTCAACACACTAAGTACAACCAAACAGAAAGCATTTAAGAACTACACTGTAAAATCAAGACTCCCTTGAGTTCAAAAAAGAAAAAACACTGAAACATTCATCTGAGTACCATGCTTTACCTTACTCAATTTGATACTCTTCCAACCATTTTGCAAGTTACTCCTCACTCCCTCCATTTTAACGCACCCTTTTCCTTCTAGCTCCTTCGCACACTCAGACTGGCTTGAAACGGAACTTAACGGCTGCTACACGCGGCCAGATGTTCCAGGGAGCTTTAGGAGCCAGACCCTCGCAGTGATTCAGCAGAGAGCCACGTGGTCAGGAAAGGCACGGTGTGTCCTGCTGTTAATGCAAGGACCAGCACCATTCCGATTTTCACTACATCAGGAAAGTTCTCCACTTTCCAAAATAATCCTTTCTCTTTGAACAGATGCTCACTAATCCTCTTGTCACAATTTTCTATTGGCAGTTCATCATCCACTGCTTTGGAGAGATTAACAGAGAACAAAACCCAACACATCCCAGTCTCGCATGGAACCGGGCTGCAGAGAACCCGATTCCACACCATGCCTCGACCCCACACTTACACAATGATGCCATGCGGCTGCTAAACCCACGTAGAAGAAAGAAGCAAACAAGAGAAAAATAAAAGCAGGGAAATGGAGAAAAACAATGAGACAGAGAGACAATCTTATGAAAAAGCACGAAGGGAACAGTTAAGATGTGTATGCTGATGATGGAAAATGACCTTTGCAGTTGGTGTGCTAACCAGTAAGCTGCCCCACACCTGATCAGGTATCTAAGGGGTGCCCTTAGTGAAACTACATTTCTGACTTATTTAGAGTTAGAAATTTCTGAGATAAATTGCTACTCATCACATCACTGTCACCTTACCACTGCTGCTGTACTCTCAACATCCCCCTCTTCCAGATCTGATGAAGACAACAACGAATCAAGGAGGGGAAAGAGCTCTAAAACTCACAGCAAAGAGCATTTAACTTCCACATGGTCAGGTTCCTGCATTGATCTCTTACAAAAGATTTCACGTCAGTATCTGATAGAGACAAGTCTCACAGACCAAAGTCTGGTGGCTTTTAAGCGAATGTGCCATCAACTGAGTCACAGCAACAAGATGAGTGCGACTGAACAAAGCCATCTAAAGATCCAGATACGATTTAGCTGAGTTGAAAGTGTCATGCTAATTGTTCTTCAGGTAATTTCAGCTATGTCAGGAACAGACAGGCCATTAGATACACATTTTTAAGATCAGTGGTCAGAAATTTGGACATACTGAGATTTGAAAATATACAATATGAAGCTGTCTTGAAATAAGTTTAAAGTCAAAATGTTACTAGATTTCCAGACAAATGTGAATAATGGAAAAAAAACACTTTATATCTACAAGTAGCACAAGAGTTTTCTGTAAAGGCAGACAAAAAAAGCGAGAAATTTCAATCCTACAGAATACACAGCTGCCAAATAAAGGCCAAAATAAGGCTGTAAGGCTGATTTTCAAACACTATAGAAGGACTTTGTAATTTTTAAGGAAAACTGATTTTAAATTCTTATCAATGAAACTGATAGAACTCTTGTTCCCTGCAAATTTTAGGTTTGTTCCTGAAAGCAGTTTAATTCGCTAAGTTCTTGGGACACATTGATCACATTGGTCATCTTAAATTACTACCTTCTATGGAACATCAATAGGCTGAAAGTAGTTCAGATTCCTATTCCTTCTACCACTCAGTTTCTTCACTATGTGTACAAACATTATAGTTTTAATTCTTCAGTTTCTTAGAGCATCTCACCTTATACCCATTCTTACACTATTAACAGAGAAGTCTCAAAAATGAAAACTTTCCCCTTCTAGTCAGTTTCACTTTCACTTGAAAACCAAAATGATGTCATCAAATTCAATGTGC